GTATACAGTACGTCACAATAGGGAAGAAAAACCAACTGCAACTTCCATTTCATGCTAACCTTATAAACCACTGATCTGTGCTGTTGGGGAAAAAAAAGCAGGCAAACATGAAAAAATTAAAGAAATCTCTGTATGTGAATTTTTGATTCCTTCAATGAACAGTGTGTGATCAGTCAAACCACTACTCTGCAAATGAGGTGCACAGATCCCCACTGTGGGGTACTCTATATTTACCCAAACATTTAATTTGAGCACATTTAAAAATAGTGTTGTTAAAGCTTACCCAGAAATATAATGGGAGGTAATGTGACACTGACTCTGTTTTACACCTCTAAACTTGAACAAAAATGAATCTGCACCTACTGAGAAAAAATGTCAATTACTCAAAACAATGAATATTGAGGCAAAGAAAGCATTCCTCCTACTAAGGCTATTAGTCTTGCCCATTCCCCTCCGGAGTGACTCTAAACTAAACCAGCACAAGGGATGGAGAAGAATGATGAGATTGCTGATCGTGCTGCAAAGCCTGTGAGGAAAGAGAGGATCTTTAACAAGAGCTATCTGCTCTTATGGGAAGTGCAGAACCAATTCATATTCATGAATGGTATGTTTAGAGTTTACAGCATATAGCTTGAGATAGTGTATTCAATTGGGATGACTGCTCAACTGAGGTCTGTTCACGTGCAGTGAGATATGCAAGTCATTAACCTTCTGTGCAATTGAGTGCATTGCATGTTTATGAAACCTATACAATTATTCTAACCACTGCTCACATGTTCACAAGTATTACAACATACCCTGCTATAAAATGGCGTGAACTCCTTTGTAGCATATGATCTAAATTCACCTTTACCCTTAAAGGACCCCTATTATGCCATTTTTAAGATTGCTAATATTGTTTTATGAGTCTCCTAAAACAGGTTTACATGCATGCAAGGTCAAAATACACGTTGGTTATTGTCTATCGCCTAAACGAGTCGTCAGGAATCTTATTCTGTTACGGCTCTACGTCAAGAAGTAACACATTTGCATAATGTCTGCCCACGTTCTACGTCGCCAACTTGCACACCCACAAACAGTACAATTTCAGTGTGGTTAACATCATGTCGAGAAGACGCTGTATCCTACGCTGTGAGAGTAAATTTGTTTTATCACATCTTATAATTACCACAAACTTGTTAACACTTGACACTTACCACTGAGAAACATCCTGCTCCAGTCCTGCTTGCGAATCAGTCTCTTGTCGATCAGCCAGTTCAACCATTTCATCATCAGACTCCGACTCGAATTGGTAAGGTACAATCCATACCATCTTTTGTATGTATTGACAAGTCTCCAAGGCTGTCCGACACGCGCTGTGCGGTTGACTAATTTTCAACCTTTAATCCAGAGCCAATCGCTCTACCAATCACAAAGGACTGCGCCATCTGACCAATCACAGCAGTGAGGGCTCACGGAAAGGAGGGGTTTGGAGAGACTGATTCTTTGAACAGCTTCGCACGAGTCGTTTACGAATCATTTAGAAATGAGGTAAAATTAAATCTATTTTTTGAGAAAACTTTATTTATCATGCACTGTCGGCTTCACAACTTTGCAGATAGTTTATGTTCACATACAGCTACATTACACACTGCATGAAAGGTAATATTCGAAAAGGCATAATAGGGGCACTTTAAAGTTGATGAGAACATACATACATAAAAATTAAACAATATTTTCCAGTGATTTGGCTGAAATTTTCTCTGAAATATTTTTATTTTCCGTTTTACAGTTTTTATGTACACAGCATGCTGCTGCTTTGCTGTTTAGATAAGGATGGCGAGTTTTTATGCCGAGCAATTTGTCCTGAGAATTCTTTCATTTAATTATTTAAAGGGGTCATAATATGCTATTTTAAAGATCATTATTTTGTGTATTTGGTGTAACAGAATATGTTGACATGCTTTAATGTTCAAAAAACACATTATTTTTTAAATACTGTACATTATTGTAGGTCCTCTATGCCCCGCTTCTTTCAAACGCATCGTTTTCAACAAAGCCCCCTCCTTTGACAAGTGCAGTCTGCTCTGATTGGCCAGCTGACCCAGTGCATTGTGATTGGCCGAACACCACAAGCACGTGTCGGAAATGTAATGCCCCTTACTATAATCGCAGCTTCAGCTTTCAAAGTAAATATCAAGACAGTTAATAATGTCGTTAGTTTTACCATCAGTTCAAGACCGAAAGGGCAACAGAGTCGCGTGACAGACACAGTGATGATGCAGTACACAAGCCGCGGTTAAGACAGCTAACGTGCTATGATTTCTGACAGGGAGTTCACTCTCCTGTGATGTGACCCTGTTCCCCTCACAAATGATCATCAGTGAGCAGCTGAAAGAGAATGGCCACA